TATGCATTGTTTGATAATAAAGTTTACATTTTACTAAACATTTTTAATACTACATAAAGAATAGAAAGTGATAATGTTAATTATGTTCCCCAAACGAAGTTGGGGAACATATTGTTTTTACTCTGTTTCTTATTATTATTATGTTCCCCAAACGGAGTTTGGGAACATATTGTTTTTACTCTGTTAAGGTCTTCAACGGAAGACCTTCTACTGATTCTGTTGTTTCTTTACCACTGTTATTAAGGTCTTCCGTCTTCACGGAAGACCTTATAGTGATTCTACTGTTTCTTCTTATTATTATTAAGGTCTTCCGTCTCCAACGGAAGACCTTATTGTTTTCGTTCGGTTTCTTTTTCCCTATTATTATTTTTCTTACCGATTTTGTGCACGCGATTTCTCGGAAACGGCTCTCCCGATTTTCACCAAACTTTCAGGTCTGATAGATATTTATCTGAACCTTGTCGTAAATTTTCGTCGTTGATGACGTCACTTCCGGTCGTGAGATATGGACGATTTTATGATTTTTAGAGGGTCGGCTTGTCCAGAGATCTCCTCCTAAACGACTGAAGATATCGACTTGAGATTTTCAGTGAAGATAGAGGAAGGATAGTAGATGTGACATTTTGCATATAGAGCTTTCCAGGTAAAAAGGCATCGACGCTCGCTTGGGCTCAAAAATAGGCTCATACGCATCTCGCAAAAATTGATACGTTTTCTTTTATATCTTTTTACTGGTTAATATTTTGTTAAGACATATATAATAAACAAGATGTGTTTGTGAAACACCATGCGCTCGGTGGCAACAAAAATTGAAAAAGCTATTTCTAGCATACTAGCATAGGTATCAGTCAAGGGCACAAGGTCATTGACCTTGGTAACATTTGAAAGACCTTGATTAGTGGGGTATGCACACAAAATATGAAGTCTCTATCTTTTATGGTTCAAAAGTTATGGTGAAAAGTACGAAAAAGCTATTTTTAGCATATAGGTCACAGTCAAGGTCACCAGTTCATCGACCTTGGTGTCATTTGAAAGAACTTTATTAGTGTAGTATGCAAACTAAATATGAAATCTCTATCTTTCATGGTTCAAAAGTTATGGCGAAGTTTAAAGTTTGCAGACAGAAAAGCTATTTTTAGCATATAGGTCACATTCAAGGTCACAAGGTCATTAATATTGGTGTCATTTGAAAGCACCTAATTAGTGAAGTATGCATACCAAATATGAAGTTTCTACCTTCATGGTTCGAAAGCTATGGCAAAGGTTAAAGTTTGGGGACAAACAAACAAACAAACAAACAAACAAACAGACAGACAGACAGACAGACAGACAGGACAAAAACAATATACGCCTCGGATCTATCGATCCAGGCGCATAAAAATGTGCAATATAGTTAGACCTTTCATTTGATATGAAGGAAATGGGGTTAGCCCTTTAGTTACTTTTAATTTGTTCATTTTTTCCGTCGACACTTCCGTTGTAAACCGGAAGTACATGTAATTTAAATACATGTACATGTATAGCGATTTTTTTTCATTTTCTAATGAATGTAATTGATCATTATAGAGATTTAGAGAATGCGTAGCATCTTAATATTTCCAACGGAAGTACGGTTCGTTCAAACCGGAAGTTGTCTAAAAATGAGTATTTTCCATCGAAACTTTCAGGGATGATTACTGCATGCTTGATGTAGAGTTGAAAGTAGTTTTGAGCACATACGGTCGCACCGGAAGTGAAGAAGTAGAACCGGAAGTTGATTGGAATTGATAGATCCTACATTTTTTTGTATTTCTAAACATATTTAGAAGAATTCTTGTGCCTTTTTTACATTTTTTCTCCTATCAGTGGAATTATCCCAACACGGGTCTTATTCCATCAGATATCGGACGGAAGACCTACTCGTTGCTTGCAACGAGATCGCATCTAGTTATTATTATTATTATTATTATTATTATTATTATTATTATTATTATTTTTCATTTTTATTTTTCTGACCTTTTCAAATCGCGATATCTCAAAAACTACTCAATCATTTTCAGCCAAATTTTCAGGAATGAAGTGTTGTACCATGCCATTTTGAAATATGAAAAGAAATTTGGAAAATTCACTTCCGGTCAGAAATTATTGCAAATTTTCATTTTTTCCACTAAAAATCTATTCCGTGAATGTTCTCAGAAACTATAAAACGTAGGATTCTCAAACTTTCAGATATGATAGAGGCTGGTTTGTAGATGTGTGAAAAGAACATTTCGTGTGTCGTCGCCACTTCCAGTCGTCACAGGAAGTGATTGAAAAAGGGCAATTTTTTTTAACTTTTTTGTTTTTTGATATTTTTCATTGATCTTAATAAGAATAATAGAAACATATTTGAAAATGATAAATATGTAATTTGATTTAGAATCGAAAATGTCTACCTCGAGATATTCGCATTGAAAAATTTGAAGTGGTTGTCCCCAATGGCGTAATGGTTAGCGCGTTGGATTTTCACGCTGGCGACCCGGGTTCCATCCCGCATATGTCCGAAATTTTTTTATCACTTTTTCATTTCGATTTTACGTTTTTCTTTCAGAATCGGACGGAAGACCTCTCGTTGCTCGCAACGAGGTTCTTTTCTAGTTATTATTAATTCTTTTTTTTCTTACCGATTTGGTGCAGACGATTTCTCGAGAACGCCTCGACAGTTTTTCATGAAACTTTCAGCAATGATGGGAAACTATTTGAACTTCATGCGGTTTTTTTTTTATTTTGCCGTCGTCACTTCCGGTCGCGAGATATGGCCATTTTTCTGTTTTTAAAGTGTCATTTTGTCCGAGAGTGTTCTCGAAAACGGTTAGAGATTGGGTCCTGAAACTTTCAGGGATGATAGATTGTGACTCCTAGATTTGAGAAGGATATATAGTTTTTGTTGCCGTTGCGTCCGTCGTCCACCGGAAGTAGTTTAAAAATATGCAAAATTTTATTTTTTTCTTTTTTAAATGTTTCTTATGAAGGCACATAGAGTGTCTCATGTAATATTATGTCCACCGGAAGTTATTTTTTCGAAACCGGAAGTAGTCCAAAAAGTGAGTATTTTTCCTCGAAATTATCAGGGATGATTCCTTCACACTCAGAAAGGAGTTATAGGTCATTTTAAGTACTTCCGGTCACACCGGAAGTGAATTATAAAGACCGGAAGTTGTTTGAAATCGATAGATTTCACTCTTAAATGTGTTCTCACGTATTTTGAATAATTGATCAGAACATTTTTTTTCATTTAAAGTTGTTTTATAACCTTATCAAAAATCGAACGGAAGACCTACTCGTTGCTCGCAACGAGATCTCATCTAGTTTCTTACTATTATTCTTTTTTCTTCTTATTTCTTCTCCGGACTTTTTTGTCCGCGAGTGTTCTCAGAAACTGTTCACCCAACTTAGCTAAAACCATTTTAGGGTTAAGAGATGTGTTGTGTAGGTGTGCGGAACGAAGGTCATTTTGCGCGCATACGCATGCACGTGCGTGCGCGTGAAATGAGTGAATTGACTGATATACTTAATATAGCTAAAACTTTTACATTTCTTGATCAAAAGCAATCTGATTGGCTTAAACTTTAAATGGCTATAACTCCCTTGTTTTTCAACCAAACAGTATGGGATTTAGAACATAGACACACATAACGGACTCTTACAGGGAAGTATGCCGTCATGCACATGCATGCAAGTGCGTGCACGTGTGCTTTGCTGTGATTGGCTGAAACAAAAATCGCAAATTTTTTTTTTGATTTTTGACGAAATGCTTTGAAATTTTAAACATAGTCATGCACTAGGATGTCCTACATGCGCATGCACGTACGCTGCAATCTGATTGGCTTAAACTTAACATGGCTATAACTTCCTTGTTTTTCAACCAAACAGGATGGGAATTAGAACATAGACAGACATAATGAAATCCTACAAGATGATTTGGTCGTCATGCACATTCATGCACGTGTGCTCCGCTCTGATTGACTGAAACAAAAATCGCAATATCTTTTCTGTTTTTTGAAGAAAAGCTACGAAATTTAAAACACTGGCATACTTTTGGATGTCCTACAATATGATAAATAACAATTAACATTAAATTGGCGTAACTTTTTACATTTTTGATGAAATGCTTTGAAACTCATAAAATAAAGATATGTTAGTAGCATAGACAATATGACATGGTCAAAATTGCAAGATCTCACGCGCATACACGTGCACTTTGCTATGATTGGCTGAAACTGAAGTCTCTATATCTTTCTTGTTATTTGACGAAATCCCTTGAAATTTTGAACATAGCCATACATTAGGATATCCTACAACATGATATATAGCAATTATCATGAAAACACGTGCATGCACGTGCGCTGCAATCTGATCGGCTTAAAATTTAAATAGCTATAACTCCCTTGATTTTCAACCAAACAGGATGGGATTTGGAACATAGATAGATATAATGGACCTCTACAAGAAGGTATGGTCACCATGCACATGCATACACGTGCTTAAACAGCTATAACTCCCTTGGTTTTCATCCAAACGGGGTGGGATTTAGAATATAGATAGATGTAATGGACTTCTACAATAAGTATAGTCACCATGCTCATGTATGCCCGTGCGTGCACGTGAAATGAGTAAAATAAAAAATAGACTTGAATGGGCGTATTTTTTAATACTTTTGGATTAAATACTTTAATATTTAGTATATTAAAATATATACATTCTGTAGACAATGTGATATGGTCATTACGCACATGCATTCACACGCGCACATGTGCAATGCTAAAATTTGAATGAACTTGGTACACTTCTGTGTAAACGTTGTTAAAGTCTCAAATGCATAGAGTTTGTCTTATTTAATGAAGCCTACAGGGGATATGGCACCAAAAGGAAGTTGGGGAGCGTTTGGGGAACAACTGTAACGGTCCCCGTTACAATTAGCACTAGTTGTAGCTTTTTTAATAGATAGGAATGAATTCATCATAGTGTAATCATTATTTTTACAGGGCGTTGGGACGCGTTTTCGCATTGGGATGTTCTCGTAGATGAAGCTTATGTTGGTAAAAACTCTATCAAGTTGAGGTGTTATTGCTTCATGAAGAAAGAACTTGTTAACTACATAGACATTGTTCCAGTAATGTATGCCCAGATTCGACATAACAAGAGCTCTATTTGGAGAAACATGGCCATGTTGAATAAAACGGGATATTATATGCTAAATACTGATTCAATCGAAGGGAACTATTCTATTTCTGACGGAGGCTGTGAAATTCAGTCGGGCGGGGCTTATTATTATTGCAATATGAGAATTATTTCACTATTTACAATACGTGGATGTTCAATTGATCCAGATCTGTATTCCGTCTTCCGGTGTCAATTTTCAAATGGAAGTGGGATACTCACCAGCCAAGAAAAAGATACAGTTATAAAACGTGATTTCGGTAAGCATACTTCCTTTTGTCTTAATTGTATAATTTGTCGCTAGTGTCTCTATGTCTACAAAAATCATATATACCTAAATTGAATTGTAGATTTAATGTTTTCGTCCATTTTTTTGTTATACCTTTAAAAATTGTTCCTTTACAAAAAAATCCGTACGAAAAAGGCTAAAATTTCTAATATTTTGCTGAGCAAGCATAAAAAAAAAAGATATTTAAACGCTGGATGAGATGTCATAGAATGGGCGGAGCTTAATCTCATTTTCAATCGCTGGTGTTTATTAAAAGTGACGGACCCGAGGTAACATCACTGACGACAGTACAAAAAAATCATACGGAAAGGTATAACAAAACATTTATTGACTACGTTCTCGGGCAAAATGCGTTTTGTTAACTCTCAAACAAACATGTCTAACGGCCTCAGGCAGACGGTTTGGTTCTTGGTCCGACAAAACGCATGTTAACGTTGCTCTCGAACTCAGTCATTAAATGTATAATATTTGATTTCAAATTGACTGGCTCATAAGTGTTTTAATCCAATCATTTCCTACCGAAATTCCTATGAATTTTATCATCAAAGGATCACTTCATTATAAATAGGGATCTGACCTATAGGACCGGGCTTGGTTTTTTTCTCTACAAAAAGCTTGTCGATTTCCGTTCCGATTAATGACATTAGGCTAAATACATATAATAATTTGTTTTTCCTGAATTTTTATTTCAGTTAGTAGAGGTAGGAGGAACCCTTTCATTGATTTTCTGAGTTTGTAATCTCCATATGTCCTAACTGATATTTGTCTTTACTTCTCATGGTTCATAAAGGTAGTGTCTACTGTCTCTGAAATTCTGTTTACATGTCTAGGCCATTTATCCGTGGATATAATAAAACATGCCATTAATGTGTGCAAATATAGGCCTAAATGAAATCCAAGGGAGTGCATTTACTGAAATATGTAGCCAAAATCATGTGATTTAATTATAAGGAATATATACAATTGAAATTCATCGCAGCTCAATGCTTGCAAGAATACCTTTATTGAGGAACACGGAGTGAGTTATTCTTGTCCTCGAAGAAAGTGTGCTTATACTGAGGTTCGTTCCGCCTGACTGAGAACTCTGCATTGGATTGTTACGATTTGAGATCTCTTTTAATGTTTCTTATATATTAAGAATGGGCATGCATAAAGGATAGGTAATTGAAGGGAAAATACTCATATCTATATAAAAAATCTAAATAGTCTTTGAAAAGGCGAAATTTAAAATTTTATAAGTGTTGTACCAGGTGGATTCGAACCCCCGACTTTAAAAAGAAAGTATCCAAGGTGCAAAAGTCAGCGCTTATTATGTTCCCCAAACGAAGTTGGGGAACATATTGTTTTTACTCTGTTTCTTATTATTATTATTTTTCTTCTTCTTCTTCTTCCTGGGTACTTTTTTGTCCGGGAATGATCTCGCAAACTATACATCCGACCAAGGTGAAATGTTTTTAGGGTCAGTAGACATGTTATGTAGATTTGCGGAATGAAGGTCATTTTGCGCGCACGTGCTTGCAAGAGCGTGCACGTGCAACATGTGAAATGATCGATTTAATTGATATAGGCGTAACTTTTTCAATTTTTGATGAAATGCTTTGAAACTTATAATATAAGGATATATTAGTAGCATAGACAATATGAAATGGTCAAAATAGCAAGATCTTACGCGCATGCACGTGCACTTTGCTCTGATTGGCTAAAACTAAAGTCTCAATATCTTTCTTATTTTTTGACGAAATCCTTTGAAATTTTGAAAATAGCCATGCATTAGGATATCCTACAAAATGATGTATAGCAATTATCATGAAAACACGTGCATGCACGTGCGCTGCAATCTGATTGGCTTAAACTTTAAATAGCTATAACTCCCTTGATTTTCAACCAAACAGGATGGGATTTGAAACATAGATAGATATACTTGACTACTACAAGAAAATATGGTCACCATGCACATGCATACACGTGCATGTACTTGCGCTGCAATCTGATTGGCTGAAACTTTAAACAGCTATAACTCCCTTGGTTTTCAACCAAACGGGGTGGGATTTAGAACAAAGATAGATGTAACGGACATCTAGAAGAAGGTATGGTCACCATGCTCATGCATGCATGTGCGAGCACGTATGTGCACGTGAAATGAGCAAAATAAAAAAAACACTTGAATTAGCGTATCTTTTTAAAACTTTTGGATTAAATACTTTAATGTTTAGTATATTAAAATATATAGATTGTGTAGACAAGATGTTATGGTAATAACGCACATTCATTCACATGCGCACGCGTGCAATGCTAAAATTTGAATGAACTTTGTACACTTCTTAATAAACGTTGTTAAAGTTTCAAATGCATCGAGTTTGTCTTATTTAATGAAGCTCCCAGGGAATATGGCACCCAAAGGGAGTTGGGGAGCGTTTGGGGAACATCTGTAACGGTCCCCGTTACAATTAGCACTAGTATCATTTGAGCTAGTCTGACTATAACAAGGAGTGGATAAATTTCAAGCAGGTGATGAAAATCAGGTTTCCTTATTTTTATAGGTTTTTTTGTGAATTTCGACCCCAGGGCAGGGGTGCCCCTAAAAAAATCTTTTCTTAATTTATTCCTTACATCCTAACCTATCAAAATATCACAATTTTATTTAAAGGCAGGCCTGCCCTGAAGGACTTCAAGGCCAAAATTCATGCAAAAATCAATGCTTTTATGGACAAACTGGTGTTTCGGTCAACTTTGGAGGTTTATTTAAAGTTGTAAATAATAAATTTCAGGTATCAAATACAAATTTGAAAAATTTAGACATATATACGGTAGAAAACAACAAATAAAGATTGATTTTTAAATGTCGTTTTTTGCTGGAAATTGTTCTCTCCTATAGGTCAATTCTTTTGTTAAAGCGAATACATCCTTTCGGGCGTGTTTTTGTACATGTACCTCTGCAGCATCAAATGTCAATTCTCACAAATACAAGAATTCCAAGACTGCTTGATATAAATGAGATAACAAAACAGTAGCCTAGCTTGCTTTTGAAAAACATTCCCTTCGAAACGGAATACTCCGATGAATTCGAAGCCTAACCACTTTTCATTCTCCGAATTTGATCTCGTCACTTTCCCATTAAAGCCTTCAAACCTGTTCTTTTTTCTGAATTGACATTTTGAAACTAGTATTTATTTCTTTTATACTAACACAGTTACCAAAAAATGTCCGTTTTAGATCCAGATATGTAACTGAACATGCTGAAGTATATCTTTGTATTTAAAGGCGTAAACTTGATAAAATATATTATTTTTAGCTCACCTGAGCTGAAAGCTCAAATGAGCTTTTCTGATCACATTTTGTCCGTCATCCGTCTGTCTGTCCGCCTGTAATCCTTTCACATTTTTACTTATTCTTAAGAACCACCAGGCGAATTTCAACCAAACTTGCCACAAAGCATCCTTTGGTGAAGGGTATTTTAGTTTGTTCAAATGAAGGGCCACATCCTCATTCAAGAAGAGATAATTCAGAAATAGTGAAAATTTAGTGGCATCTTTAAAAATCATCTTCTCAAGAACCACTGTGCCAGGAAAGATGAAACTTATGAGAAAACATCCTCAGGTAGTGTAGATTCATGTTTGCTCAAATCATGACCTCCAAGGGTAGGGCGGGGCCACAATATCCGATCAAGTAAATATATAGGAGCAGGCGCGGATCCAGAAATTTTTTCCAGGGGGGGTCCACCTCAGTAAAAAAAAATCCAATCCCAGAATTTCTTGACAAGCAAAAAAAAAATGATAATAAAACTCGCCCAAACGTCAAAAACCTATTTCGGGGGGTGGGGGTGGGTGGGTAGGTGGGGGGTGGTAGTGGTGACTTCTATTGCTTCAAATCTTTAACTTTTCATACCCATTTCACACATATTTGTGTTTACCAGGGGGGGGGGGGTCTGCGTTTCCAATTTTCCATAGGGGGTCCATGGTAACTTTTTTCTTGTTTTAGTATATACATTTTTTAACCTAGTAAATTCCAGGGGGGTCCTGATCGGGGACCCCCCCAATCCCCCCTCTAGATCTGCGCATGAGGAGAACTCATTAAAAAATCTTCTCAATAATAGCAAAGCCTTGATTGGTAATATTTTTTTGGAAGCATCTTCATAACGTGTAGATTTGAGTTCAAATCATGAAACCTGGGGGTAGGGTGGGGCCTAGCTGCAGAACTGTAGCTTTCTGCTTGAAAAAAAATTCGTAATAATAAAGCAGAGGGTTACACATCCAAGCGTTGTAAAAATCTTCGGTTTTAAAACGCTGCCGATTTTTGTCGCTCACTTCTATGGAAAGCCAACGGGTTCAAAATTCCAACTCTGTAATTCTTAAAATGTACACATGTAAATCTGAATTTGTAAATTGTAAATCTTAATTTCATAATCTGTAAATTGTTTTTTTTTCACAATTTGTTAGTTGTAACTATCCATGCGTAATTTGACAAGTGTAAAAATGTAAATGCAAGTTTTGCCGATGCGTTCGTGTAATTCGCAGACTTACGATTTGTCAACTTGTGAAATGTAAATTATACTTTCGTGATTTGTCAATTATGCAAGGTTTCATTATTTAGACGAAAGGGGGCGCTATAGGGGTGGCAGGTTTATTCGTTGCTTAACAATTTAATCACTAATCACCAATCCGTCCAGCAATGCACCATACCTGAGGATTATTGACGCGACTGGCCCAGGATAGACAAGAGTGGAAGAAGTTTGTTGCTGCCCTGCAACCACAGGGTGTAAAGGATGACGATGATGATGAATGCGTCCTACCTGGCAAAAATATCAAGAAAGGCTGATGAAATGTTTATAAACTAGTTTTATGTGTCTTTAAGACTGTTTGTAAATAAAAATGTATTAACAGGGCTATGCTCTAGTAAAAACTCCCAACAATCCTGAATATTTTTCGAGTGTAAAATTATTTTTTTAAAAGCCTTTTCTGTAGTGTTACTGGCAGATTCAGTAGGAGGGGGTTGGGGCCGGGATATAGAGGCCAGGATCGACCCCCTCAGATTTTCATTAATGAACTTTATATAGTAAATCAATCAAGAAATAACCTCAGACCCCCCTTTCAGGAGTTATGGACCTCTCGTTAATAAGTAGAAGAGTCATATAAATATTTGAAACAGCTTATCAACAAGAATTGTCCACCCCCCCCCCCCCCCCCGCACACACACACGATTTTTTTTGGCCTGTGGATTAATTTTTTTAGTGGACATGAAGCTTTCTCCTCATTTTGAAAATATACATGTATTGACAGCTAGACCCATTCATGTCTTTGTAAAGTACACATTAGTTTGTATATACGGAAAATTTAAATTAAAATTTATTTGAAGTGATCATATATTAAGTACGTAGTTTTTCTTTTTCTTCCAAACAGATGACTAATTTTGTGTTTATAAATAATCATTAATATATTTTATAATGTTTCGTCAGATTTAAGAGTAACATACTACTAGGAAGGGAGGGTCCTTCTCTTTGCACCACTCACTGATCAGTTTGTATACATTAATCAGGTGATTTTATAGAGCCGAAGACAACCCAGAAGGTATCAAGCATCTCAGTTGGATTACATATAGTTTATTTTATGCATCCCTATGAAACAAAATGAAGTTCAGAAAAAAGGCTTCCTTGCCTTCTGCCACAAAAACAGAACACGTGAAAAATCTAGTCATCATGCATGTAGCAACGTTTTTGAAAGGGGCGCCGAAAAATAATTGACACTTTTATCTGAAAACCCTGGGGATGGGTATGGTATATGGTTCTTTCTTTTTCACAAGACAATTCGATTCATAGTTAAACATGTTCGAGAAAAAACGGGAAGGGGGAGCCCCTCTCCAATACGTTGTACAACGTGCCAAGTCTTTACGCTTCTTTATAATACTGAAAAAAAGCTGTCGGGGTCTATTCCCGCGGCACCTCTCCGGGGGGGGGGGGGGGGGGGTTGGAATCCGGATCCCCACCCCCCAAATGTACAGTTATTAAATGTATATACTGAAGCACATAGAAATGACTTTGGACCCCCCCCCCCCCCCACACACACACACACACACAAACCACAACCACCAACACGAAATAGGTTAATATTATTATTATTTTTTTTTTGCTTGTCGAAGAATTTTTGGTTTGGAATAATTTGACAGGTGCACCTCGTCCCCCTTTGGAAAAAATTCCCGAGATCCGCACCAGCCTTATGTACCAGTCTATACGAAAAAAGTATTGTGTGTTTAGATCCCTGATCTTTTCTGTGTTAAACTTAAATCTTATTTGTAAACAGCTTAAGATACCACTTGAAGGCATGATATGCATGCATACCACAAAACTCAGTTGGTTAATGATCTTTTTATCTTTGGAGCGAAATGACTTGCCCCATATAGCGCCCTCTTTCGTCTTAATATGCAACCTTGCATAATTTACAAATCATGAAAGTACATTTCACAAGTTGACAAATCGTAAGTCTACCAATTACACGAGAGCATCGGCAAAACTTGCACTTTTCAATTTATGTTGGATAATTTACAATTAACAAATTGTGAAAGACCATTTGACAAATTATGAAATTAAGATTTACAATTTACAAGTTCAGATTTACAAGTGTACATTTTAAGAATTACAAAGTTGGAATTTTGAATCCGTTGGCTTTCCATTCACTTCGAGTATTATTTCTGGTATTTCTTTTCCTTTTTAGTGCTCATGAATGTGAGCGATGTGGCCCATGGACCTCTTGTTTTATTTTTAGGGTTTTATTTCCTTGAATTTGGACAGGGAAGCATACAATTACAAACAAATCACGAAAATCCATTTTCTGAAGGGGATGTTGTGCAGTTGCAGTTTAGTGGAAACATCAGACGTATTTCTGCGTTAACGAAAGTAAAATCTAATCTTTCTTCTTTTCCTCCTTAATCTTAAAAAAATTATGGGTGTTTACATAAACATACAATTAATCTGTTAATATAGAGAGTCATAAGGCATGATTTGTAGCGACACAATATTATAATTACATATCATTATTCAAAATCGCGGAAATGTATATATATTTTATGCCTTTTACTTATATTTCGTTTTTGGGTTTATTTCAATTTTAGAAAATTGTTGTTTTCCCTATGTGCAATTACATTTCCGTAATGTATTGATCAAAGCTCCGATGAGAATAAGGGTAAATCATAAAAATTAGAGATACTGTGAGCACTGAGTTCGCTAAATGATACCCCCGCCTCTCATGTAATTATAATGGCAAAATGCGTGGTTTGTTTGAGAAGGGAAATTTCCGTAATGTATTGATCAAAGCTCCGATGAGAATAAGGGTAAATCATAAAAATTAGAGATACTGTGAGCACTGAGTTCGCTAAATGATACCCCCGCCTCTCATGTAATTATAATGGCAAAATGCGTGGTTTGTTTGAGAAGGGAAACCCGAAATAAGTGTCAGATAAAAAGTGAAACAAAAGCTACACGACTGCATTAAAATATGTAATAACAAAATATATGTGAAAATATCTTTTCCTTAAATTTCATTCAGTGGTATAGGAGGAGTTGTGGATAAGAGATAATTACCCTCAAATATGTGTTCAATCTAAAAGTAAAATACTTTAAAAGGTGTACAACTGGACTTTGTGACAAATATTCTCTATAGATCTCATTAAATTTCATTCAGAGCAAAACAGGAACTTTGCTATTAAACATATGGCAGGCAGGGTTTCATTTAGTGAGCTGATTGCTTAGAGTGCCTCAAGTTTAAATATACAGTTTAAATAATAGCTGACAATTGTGTGATCATAGGTCTTAAACATTGCATCTTGAAATTGAACAGACAATTAGGATGTTTTAAAATACATCAATAGACATAATAACTTAAAATCATTACATCGTATATGTATTTTAAAATATAAATAAATATTTCCGTCTCTGTTGGTTTTTTTCTCTGAAAACTCGTTGAAAGCAAATTTACATGATATATTGATCATTCTACCAGAATGTAAATTTCGCAAAACGATAGGTCAGAAGCTAAGGGAGCTTAATATGCGTGTAAATCTCGTGGATGTGTTCCCCGAAAGGCTAATCGCAAAAACAAGTAATTATCTCACTCAATTAAGGGGCCTCAAAGGGATACAGGTAAACTTACCTGATATGTTTACCTGAATAAGCAATATTTGATATATCAGAAAAATTCATTTCATTTTATTTTAATTTAGAGATATTGTTTTTTTAAAGATATTTTTATTTCATTCAAAATATAATTTTTATAGTTCTGTCTTATTGAATTCATTTATTTATTTATCAGTTTGAATTATTAAATCTTTTTAATTTTTAATCATCATAAAAAATAGAGTCTTTACTTAATAATACATTGTTTAGGATAAAGAGATTTGATGTTATTAATTAACTCTTTATTAAATCTTTTTAATTTTAAATTATCATAAAAAAACAGAGTCTTTAATTACTTAATAATACATTGTTTATAATAAAGAGATTTGATGTTATAGAAACAAATAACGTTCAATTGATTTTTAAATAAAAACATAAATTGATAAGCTATTTGATGAAGCAACTGATTATTGAGATCAGTTCACTTTGTAATTTTAAATAAGCAAAAGTATCATAATTAGTGTCAAAGAAAATGATGTTCTGAACTTTTTAATATTGGAGTGCACAACAGCTAGAAGTTCAAGTTCAATTTATTCACTCAAACCAATAAATAGTACATGAGGTTCTACAATGTTTGTACAATATATACAAAAAAACAATGTACAAGACACACGTGAAATACATTCATATTATGAAGTAACAAAAAAAGTTATGGAGGACAGACTTTTTCATATACTCTGTTTATATAACTGCATAGTTTGATTAATACTTTCGAGTAAGCAGATGGCATTTTGAAAGTTTGAAAAAAGGTCTATCACAGTATTTACTAGGTAGGTAATTTTTCTGCATTCTGAAAAAAATGACATACTAAAATGTTGTGATATTCATCAGAAATTTGTTCATTATTACACAGAATACATAGTCTATCATGTTTGGGAATTCCAAACCATTTCCGAGTCTCTACTTGGAGACGATAATCTGCTGTTCTTAATTCAATTAAAATTGTTCTATATTTTATAGGTAGTTAGTCTAAATATTTTTCAAATCAAAATTCTGTTTTGAAGATACTATACATTAGATCTTTAAACGAAACGCGCATATTACTTCGCCACTTCTGTATATACTGATCTTTAAGACGTTGTTCAACTTTACAGCTTTTAGCCATTTAATATTTAAAAATGCTCATTCATTCCATATAATTGAGAAGCCTTAACTATCAAGTATATTCTTAATGCATTAAATCCAAGGGTTCTAATGACCTCCTGAATCAAACTGTTTAAATAAATGTTTATATGGAACATAAACAATCTTATTTTCAGGGCTTACCAATAATTGTGCCCAAAGGGATAGCATTCTTACATGTACATAAACCGTTATATACAAAGTGAAGCGACCCGTTTCGCCATAAACTATATATCCACGAGGACTACTTTTTAAATTAAAAATGAATTTTAAAAATTTAAGATGAACTTATTTCGTTCCATTATATCATTGTTCTCAAAACCCCATATCTCACATCCATACAAAAGTAACGGAGTGACATCTTCATCGAACAAATCAAGCTAACAATCAACTGGTAAAAAATGTCTTATTTTTCGTATACCTGCATACATGGCTTTTTAAGCTTGCTCACACAAATGTTTTAAGCTCTACAGAATGAACCCGTTCTTGAAAATAGTAGAAGAAAATTTCACTCGGCTAAAAGAATGCATAACTTGTAAAAGCCAGAAGAAAACAAAAACGTTATTGACAATAGTATTAGAAAACATAAAGCTGACCTGAAACATCTTTGTGAAAAAGCCCCAAAAGCAATGCAAAGTGGTCTCAGAAAAATTAGACAATTGAACTTCCTATCGCATGTTAACTTGATTTGTTCGATAAAATGGTTTCACCGGTGTTATCTATGACTGTGAAATCTGAAGTTTTGAAAACCTAGATATTTTTGAACGTACTCATCTCTAAAAGTTTTGAAACATATTTTGTACTTGAAAAGTAGTACCCCGAATTATATGGCTTATGGTGAAACAGTACGATTAATTCCTATTATCTGCCTTGGCTTATTTATTCCAGAATAGTCTCATACTGGTGTAAATTAATGAATAGCCCTGAAAAGAAAACTTCATGTATATAATATCAATATTTAATTGCTAATTCACAATCTGAAATAGGTAAGAATCCTGGATTGACTGTGTTCACCATATTTTTGATTCCTGTGGACTGTGTATAGTATCTCATATTTGGAATGAATAATTTTGTTATAATCTTAATCAAGTTACTACTGCGTTTAAGCAAAGATGACAGGATCTAATAAATATACAATATTTTTTTATGGGTGGCACTGTAGCTTTCCGGTCTGTCAATATATTGTTTTCAGAGAGCTTCAGTTCTGTAGCTAAAGTAAAACACATTTAGACAAAAACATGAAATTTACATGCATATTAGGCCTTCTTAGCTCCTGATCTTTCTTTTAACGAAAGTTACAATTTGGTCTCTGGATCATTTAAAAATTAACTCACATAGCTATAAAAAGATTTCACAGAGAAACCAAATAGAAATGGAAATATAATATTATAATGAATATCGTTTATAAAGGGTGTCAGATGGTGCAAGAAAGAATCTGGGACATTCAAGCCCATCAGCCTACAAGATTCTCCCATTATGACTTTAGTACCTAGCGGCCAAGATGGATGCACTCAATTTTCTTTAATATTTTATCACATTACACAAAATGACACAGATCTGGAAATCATGTGTGATATGAAAAGCTCTATTTACGATACTGAATGTCGGGAATATAGTAATACTCCGAAAATTTTGATAAACACAAGCATCGAAACCAAAGGTTTTGAATTTTATTTACAGCATACATAGTTTTAAACATAGAAAAATTCCAAATTGTAATAATCTTAAATATAATATTGTGAATTTTGTCGAATTTTATATTTTGTAATTTTTAGGCTCAATTTAGTTAATAAATTTCTCTTAATTTTACCTTGAGTATCTTTAACAATCATATATAGTTTGAAATGCGAAACATTTTGTAAATCAGGCAATGAATGGAGATTATCACCAATAATAATATACGACAAAGATGGCATCATCAATTCACATAATTTCACCATGCAAGGAAGTGGTAAAACAATTCAACTACTTTGTATGGCATCTACATTCTCTGCAACAAAATTGGCGGTAATTCTTATGTCTTTTATATTTTTCTCCTTATTTTATGTTACAAGTATTTTGCTTTTGAAAAGGTACATTCTTAATCTAATTCCAATAATTGAGATGAATTAATATAATAAAAATATACACGAGTGATTCTTTAAGAAAATTGCATTGCATATTTCATAGCCGTTGATTTATAGCTCTATTGGTCAGAGACCAGAAGAGCTTATGCAATAGTAAGGTCGTCCATGAATATCTGTCTGTATACAATTTATTCAAGATACTCTCCTTCCTACATATATGGTCTGATTTCAATATAACTTTGAACTGAAGTAGACTACACAAAGATACATAATTCTATTGATTGGATTTTGATTTTGATGAACAATGCTCAGTTGTCACCAAGGTTTCGGAAAACAGAAATTCCTGTAAAATACATTATAATATATAATAGTTTTAAAACTCCTTACTTTTTGGTATGATTTTAGTTTATTTTGGCACATAAGTAGCCTACAATAAGATTCATCATTCTGTAATATCAACTTTGATTTCAATAAATAGTGTTGCCACAGTTACTAAAAATAGAATTTTCTGTAAAAGTCTTCTTAAAGGCTTCTCCGTTTACAGTTTTAGTCTGATGACAATCTCTCCATGAAAAGGGAGTACTTTACTGATGTTGTTTATTGCTGTTACAAAGATTTCAAGTCCACTTGCTACTTTTCTCTTCCTTTTGTTTTATTAAGTACAAACCAGTAGAGCTTCATGTACATTCTCGACAGAGACTTCTGTTTATTATTAGGTATTGAACTGGTGTGTCAGAAAGAATGACCAAGTCATCTGGAACAAAATAGTTCTTCAAGAAGAGGAAATAAAAGCTTCTGGAAACAATTCCGGAGAATCAGTAAAATTCAGCAGGATAATCTACCATATAAAACAATATGACAGAGCAGTCCATTTCCGTTGTGAAGTTTCTAAATCTTCCTTGAACGCATGTGGATCTGGGCTGAGTTTCGTTAATGTGACAATATCGAAGAAAAAAGGTATATTTTAAAAATCTATAAGCGTTTTTTTTTTACTTAAATGCTTGTAAAAGATTATTATTCATACAGTTTATAAAATACCAATTTTCGCAAAACAATCTATTTTGCCGTGCCGTGCACTGTAAATGTATTTTTAAAACTAGATGAAATCCTGGTCAATCGAGGGTGAAATTTACTGTAGACTGAACAATCTCAAAAGGGATCCTTTGTTATGGTTTCTACATGAGACTGTATCTAGAAAAAACGGAAATGTGCTGAATTAATCACAGCATCAGTAAAATTTGAAAATTTAAAATGCAAAATTTATATTTCATATAAAATTTACATGCAGGCATTCCATTATGTTGTACAGGTCGATATTTTCTCTTCACATCATTGTCACCTTGGTACATGAAGAGGATATAAATATTTGAGAAAATCATGAAAATACCCAACTTTTTGTCTGATTGAATTTGCAGATTTTACGATGTGTTCATGCTCTGATTTACACAAAGATGTGATGTTATTCAATGGCGGGGGGGGGGGGGGCTTTTATTTTTCCTCTCTACTAAGTTTGCATTTTATAAATATTAGTTACTATATAATAGTATATTACTAAATAAAAAGTACTCTACCTCATATATGTTGAGGCTGCCGTGTTGCGCTTAGTTATTCATTTTATGTATAATTTTTTATGCGACTTATTTGAAGACTTTCAATATCAAATGAGCATTCAGTATTCAAAGTGTTTTTTTTTTGTTATTGCCTTTCTATTTTCCCATGCCCGTGCCATGTGCTTTAAATTATATGAATATATGTTAAAAAAAGACATGTCGACGGAGGAACACAGTGATAAAGCGTCTGCACTAGAGGCGTGGAGTAAGGAGTTGATCTTACATCGCGGTGTTCGAATCTCACTATAGGACGTGGAGACATGTCCTTCGGATGAGATCGTATAAACCAAGCTCCATGTTGTAGTAGATGCTGGAACGAAAAAATCTTTCACTGCTCAATGGACCCCAGTGCCAAGTACTGTATACTCAAAAATTGTAGCTTTCCACTGGCAAGCAGTGGCGTCTTCATATGAGTGAAAACAGTTTTAGATTGAAGTTAAACAAAAAACAAACAAACAATCATTTAGCAGTTTACTTGAGTTAGAGGAAGATGCTTTTCGCGAAAGGCATTAAATGAAATAAACATCTAATTGTAGGACGATTACAGTATATTTCGCTAAAAGCAATCATTTTTTATAGTGGTATTATATATAATGATATAATAGTAATCATTATCACAATCATTTTTTCTTTAAAGAAAAAACTCCACCTGCTACTGAGAACCAGAAATCTATTACTGCTGGTACCACAGTATTGTCACTGACCTCAACTGAACACCAAATATCCAGTACTGTAACAGTCTATTGAGATCAGTTCACTTTGTAATTTTAAATAAGCAAAAGTATCATAATTAGCGTCAAAGAAAATGATGTTCTGAACTTTTTAATATTGGAGTGCACAACAGCTAGAAGTTCAAGTTCAATTCATTCACTCAAACCAATAAATAGTACATGAGGTTTTACAATGTTTGTACAATATATACAAAAAACAATGTACAAGACACACGTGAAATACATTCATATTATGAGGTAACAAAAAAAAGTTATGGAGGACAGACTTTTTCGTATACTCTGTTTATATAACTGCATAGTTTAATTAATACTTTCGAGAAAGCAGATGGTATTTTGACAGTTTGAAAAAAGGTCTATTACAGTATTTACTAGGTAGATAATTTTTCTGCATTCTGAAAAAAAAATGACATACTAAAATGTAGTGATATTCATCAGAAATTTGTTCATTATTACACAGAATACATAATCTATCATGTTTGAGAATTCCAAACCATTTCCGAGTCTCTACTGGGAGACGATAATCTGCTGTTCTTAATTCAATTAAAATTGTTCTATATTTTATAGGTAGTTAGTCTAAATATTTTTCAAATCAAAATTCTGTTTTGAAGATACTATACATTAGACCTTTAAACGAAACGCGCATATTACTTCGCCACTTCTGTATATACTGATCTTTAAGACGTTGTTCAACTTTACAGCTTTTAGCCATTTAATATTTAAAAATCCTCGTTCATTCCATATAATTGAGAAGCCTTAACTATCAAGTATATTCTTTATGCATTAAATCCAAGGGTTCTAATGACTTCCTGAACCAAACTGTTTAAATAAATGTTTATATGGAACATAAACAATCTTATTTTCAGGGCTTACCAATAATTGTGCCCAAAAGGATAGCATTCTTACATGTACATAAACCGTTATATACAAAGTGAAGCGACCCGTTTCGCCATAGACTATATATCCACGAGGACTACTTTTTAAATTAAAAATGAATTAAAAAAATTTAAGATGAACTTATCAGGTCCAGTACAATCTCTTGATTTAGCTATATAGTTTTAAATAGCTGTATAGCTTTATTAAGCTATTCAGTATAGCTTAATTTAGCTATTTTACTCCATTTTTTTCTTAAAAGTGTAATTTTCTCAGTATGTACATAAAAGCGCACCTTGGTGCAGTGGTGATATACAACTTTGAACTCTTCTTAAAGCAATGCATGTAAAAATCACTCATAAAATTACGTCTCCTTGAGAGACTTTGTACTCAAAGTTCTACAAGTTTTGGGGCTATATAAAGCAATTAATACAGTTACTTCTGCAATGATATTATAATGGAGACCAATTATGTTAAACAAAATAATTGATTGGTAACAGTTCAGCACAATGAGAAGCAATCATACATATCCTTGCCTCAAGGCACCCAAGGTAGTGGACAGTTAGTCTAACAATAGAAATTCTCTTTTTGCTTAAAAGTATTCAAAAGCTGCAAAGTCAGAATTATCTTTGATTTTGGTTGTTGTTTTGATAGCCCATAGTACAAATATGGAGAGTCAAATACATGGGACTTCTTGTTTATTTTCAGCAAAAAACTTTTTTGTGAAAAACTTTATATAAATAGCTAAATAAAGCTATTTTGAATAGCTTAATACAGCTATATAGCTTTTTAAAGCTATATAGCTAAATCAAGAGATTGTACTGGACCTGCTTATTTCGTCAATTATATCAATGTTCTCAAAACCCCATATCTCACATCCATACAAAAATAACAGAGTGACATCTTTATCGAACAAATCAAGCTAACAATCAACTGGTAAAAATTGTCTTATTTTTCGTATATCTCCATACATGGCTTTTTAAGCTTGCTCACATAAATTGTTTAATCTCTACAGAATGAACCCGTTCTTGAAAATAGTAGAAGAAAAAAGAATGCATAACTTGTAAAAGCCAGAAGAAAACAAAAACGTTATTGACAACAGTATTAGAAAACATAAAGCTGACCTGAAACATCTTTGTGAAAAAGCCCCAAAAGCAATGCAAAGTGGTCTCAGAAAAATTAGACAATTGAACTTCGATAATTCCTGTCGCATGTTAAAGCTGACATGAACTCTTAAAAAGGCATCAGTTTTCATCTTTGTACGACTTATTACATTCCTGTACGCCCTTGTCCGACATATTTGTTCGATTCCGCCATATTTGATCGAAGATTTTTGGCCACCTGCACCTGCTATATATAGCCTTGACGAATTGTTTCACTTGAGTGATTTTTTAGTCTGGCTGTCGACATGTACACATCTCCGATAGTATAGTTTTTAAAAGTCCATAAACGACCAATACATGTTTGAAAAGTAAAAATTCAACAAAAAATAGAACTTTAAAGAATTAAATTATTTTTGAATGCATTTGCTGCAATATAAAAAGTACATTAACACGGAATACATTTATGTACAGCAAAAATCCGTGCAGGTCGAGAAAACGCGTCAAATGCAGTGATAAAACATTTACCTGAATACTGCTATCGTTACAGGGATGTGCACATGTCGAAAGAATTATCCTATACTAAAAAAGCATCTCAGAAGTCATGTAATCCATTGCTAACTCAAAAGTAAAAGATGCTTGGATACACGTGGCACATGCCGATCATTTTATTTGGTATGGGAAAATATCAAAGGTTGAAAGCTCATTGGGGTTGATTGAATTTTTTTTTTCAAAAATAAAGATTGCTCTTGTTTGTAAATGTAGTAAATAAAAATTATAATTACACATGGTTTAACTCCATTAAATTTATAATAAAGCATGCATGATTACGAATCATTCGCAACTTTTGAAGACATTTTCCTATGATGGGGGGGGGGGGTAATAAAACATGCTTATTAACACTCTCATAAAAATAATTTATGAAAAACGTCTGAAACAGATTAATTATTATCAAATAAATACTGTGTATAGGCTTTATTAGACCTAATATAATTTGATTTAAAGTTATTTATAATTTTATGCACAATGAAAGAAAAAAAGTGAGCAAGTTCACATACCTCACGCTCCCCCAAAAGTCAAAGTGCTGAAATTCCCAGAAAAAAATAAAGGAATCGTAATTTCCATTACATGAAATATGCTCATCTATACACATTGTGTCCTAAATATCTGCAAAGTTTGACGAAATTGTGTGCAGCGATTTATGAGGAATTGCGCTGACAAATTGCTCATCTCTATATTCAAGATATGGCCAAAATCTAAATGTAAAAGTGCAGAAATTCCCGAAAAAATTAAGCATTCGGAATTTTCCGGTGATTTGCAAATCTACACACACATTGTCTCCTATAAATATCTGCAAAGTTTGACAAAACTCTGTGCAGTGGTTTATGAGAAGTTGCGCTAATCAAAAACGAAAAAAAGACTGACTGACGGGTGAAAAACATTATACCTCACGCAACTTATTGCGAGGGGTATAATAAATGAGTTTGATTCTGTGGTGCAATGATAATGAAAATAAAATTTAATGTGAATTAAATTTCTAGACATAAATAATTAATGATTATTAGAAAAAGCATATAGGAAGAGAGAGCAAACTCCCCATGAGAATTCCACAATCTACCTACGATTAGCTTTTTACAAATTCTCTTTTTTTGTCTGTTGTCCAGGTCCAGGTTCGACACGTACGTTTGAGAATGTATTTGTGAAAGTTCCCAATGTTCCCATTCCTGTGATGTATATTTCACGTTTATTATATCCCCCGCTTGAAAAGTGGGAGGGTATATAGTAACCGTTATGTCCGTCCGTCTGTCCGGGCGTCTGTCTCATACGCGTTGGGGTACCAATCTCTTATCTGCAAATCATCTTGTACCTCTTGGTGAATTTTAATGAAACTTTCACAGAATCTTAGGTTTAATACATATTACTTTTCAGGGGTGTTAGGTTTCTGCGACCTAACTTACACTATAGGAAATGTTAATTGAAGGTGTGGTTTTGTTTTGTTTTTTTGCTTATCCACTTTTTCAGGTAATGAAAAAAAATAAAATTCTCTGCCTGGCTAACACTTTAAATTACGGTGCTACGTGCCTGCTTTTTGATTTGACACATATTTTGGGTTTAGCGACAACAGCAAAATATGGACTTTGCCATTATAATCATATGGGAGGCGGGGTATCATTTAGTGAGCTCATTGCTCACAATACCTCTAGTTTCTATTTCAATTTGGGCGTGTGGGTTAATTTCTTGTCCAAATTAAAATTATTATTCAATTTATGAAGTTTCGACATCCCGCCTGAGAAAAATTCTTGATCAGTTCTAAGGCTTAATAAATGGTACAGCACAAAGTGCATAGGATCTTAAACCTATTATTGCCCTAACGGATAGGAGAGGGAAAGAGAGAGAGAGAGAGTTCAAAATACAAAAGAGTAAATAAAAATTATCCGTATTCAACCAGTGTCAAGTATCCCTACCCTAGCTCTTAAAATTATCTCTCAAATACTTCTGAAGAAATTATTTTTATACAAAAAAATAGCTAGACTATCAAGCAGGAGTACTGAAATCTCGAAAGACTCTCTGTAACAACATAATACAGTTACATTCCTCAAAATGCACATACTTTGTGGTCGGAGTGACCCATTAAAAAAAATTCAAAATTGAATTCGGCAGAAATGTCTGTGTTCCAAGAATATTTAAATAACGGTCATGTCAATTATTTTTGCGTGCCCCCCCCCCCCGCGCCTAAAAAAATCAAATGCCTAAATGTGAATCTGAACAGGGGATGGCTTTTCTCCGTGTGTGTGTGTGTTAAAGAACGTATAGATGTACACATAAAAATTACTTGGTTTAGATTGGAGATTAGTACTAAAACAATCAGTTATAATTGACAAATGAATTTTCCCATGCAAACCAACTGCAGACTATACACATGAATTTGTATAGAATGTATATTAGAACTACATGTAGATAGACAATTCACAATTATAGCTTATGAACAGCAGTTATAATACTTTAACCCCCCCCTCCCTTTTCAGCCGCGCAAATACCAAATAAC